ACACACACACACACACACACACACACACACACACACACACACACACACACACACACACAGAGAGTAAAAAGCAGGGCTGGAGATATGGCTCAAGTGGGGTTGAACACCAGCTGAGCTGGTGAGCCAAGCAAGAGTGAGGCCCTGAGTTCAAAAATTTAGTACTGCCAAAAAAAAGTAAAAAAGAAAATTCAGAGTGCAGATTTGTGACATTGACCAGGCCTAAATAAAATAAATTCCCTTTCCTCGGTATTTCCCCTCATTTCTTTGTTCGTTAAAGTATGAGGAATACCGCTGTTGCCCTATTGTCAACAATTAGGGAAAAGGGGAAGAATTAGTATGAATGATTATTTAGTCTTCTGTGTTTTAGAATTGTAGCATGTTCATTCAACAAGTATTTATTGAATACCTACTATGTGTCAGGAGTGTCGTAGATGCTGTCAATACAGCAATATAGGAAACAAATCCTTAGCTTAAGTCACTAACCTTGCAGTGGAGGGGATTTACAAACTGTGGAGTAGATGTTGGTAAATCCTAAGCAGAATGTTAAAGCAGGGATGGGAGACAGGGGAGTGTGTGTGTGTGTGTGTGTGTGTGTGTGTGTGTGTGTTTTAGAAGGCGCTAAGAAACCAGGTATTTACTTCTCAGGGGAACAAGCTCTGTAGGCAGAGGAAATAGGATGAGAACATACTGGACTATTTGAGGCCGGGGGTCTACAGCGGAAAGATTGTGGGTGAGATAGGTGAGACCAAGGCCAGGGCAGTGTCACTGTTAGGATTTTAGCTGTGTGTGTGTGTGTGTGTGTGTGTGTGTGTGTGTGTGTGTGTAGCTCTACTTCCAGTTTTTTTTTTTCCTGATTCATTGGAGATAAGAGTCTCATGGAAGTTGGGTACCGGTGGCTCACACTTGTAATCCTAGCTACTCAGGAGGCTGAGATCAAGGATCTCAGTTCAAAGCCAGCCTGGGCAGCAAAGTCTGTGAGACTCTTATCCCCAAGAAACCACTAGAAAACCAGAAGAGGCACTGTGGCTCAAGTGGTAGAGCGCTCGCCTTGAGCTGAAGAGCACAAGGACAGTGCCCAAGCCCAGAGTTCAGGCCCCATGACTGACAAAAAGAAAAACAAAAAGAAAAAAAAGATCTCATGGACGTTCTTGCCTGTGCTTATGTTGAATCTAGATGCTCAGGTCTCAGCCTCCTCAGTAGCTAAGATTACAGGTGTGAGCCACCCGCACCTGGGGTTCTGGCTTTTATTTGAGATGGTAAGCCTTGACTAGTTCAGGGCAGCGTTGTAGTAAGATTTGCCTCCATGGTTCACTCTGGCTCTATTAACAGGAGCAGGGACAGAAGCAGGAAGGCCCATGTTGAGTCTGTCTTTTGACTGTGAGCAATGCACATTTATCTTTCACTTAGGGTTTTGATTGAGTAAGGCAAAATTGCTTTGCTTTTATTCCATACACAGTAGCCACAGAAGTGTCTCAGTGGCATGCATGTTGTCTAGTTGATGACAGTGGTGTAATTGCACATTTGCAGCCCTCCAGCAGCTGGCACTCGTTTCTGCGTCTGGGAGCAGTACAGGTGCCATAGTCGAGTTCTCCCTGAAGGGCTCTGACTCTTGTTCCACAACATCGTTGTTCTCCAAGCCCCAGGATTGGTGCAGAGGCACCAAATCTCAGAGAAAACTCTAAATAGACAATGCTCTCCCTCATTCTGTCTATTCTGTATTATTTTCCTTAAAGTGACACCAGAGGCTCTTTCCCCCTTACATCTAGGGAGCAGACCCTTCTGTACCCACTCCCACTTTAAACATTGTGTCCAGAATACCAACCAACCAAACATCGGTGGTTTGGAAAGAGTCTGAGAGACTCATTTATACTAAGGAATAAATGACTAACAAAGGCTTGAAGTGTGATGTTTCTCTTCCTCAAATGTTTTCCTTTTTTTTTTAACAAAAGGAAATATGTTGCTGACGCTTGGTGGCTCATGCCTGTAATCCTAGCTACTCAGGACATTGAGATTTTAGGATCATGGTTCAAAGCCAGCCCAGAGAAGAAAGTCCATGAGACTCTTATCACCAATTCACAACAAAAACTAGAAGTGGAGCTATGGTTCAAATAGTAGACTGCTAGCCTTGAGCCCCTAAAAACTCAGGGAAAGTGTCCAGGCCCCACCTTCAAGCCCCAGCACCAGCAAAATAAATAAGTAAAATAAAAATTTAAAAGCCTTAAGTCAAAGCAACGACTCGAATCGTGTAACCTCAAGCCACTGGGGAAGGAATTTTAGATGACTAGGTGCTTCTGGTAGAGAGGGCTCTCCATGATATATCCCTATAGAGGTACATAGTCCATAAAAGTGAGCTGTGGCTATATTATGCCAGGCAAGTAGGCTCTACCCAGGCTGGCATTTGAGGCCACTGGGGATGGCACTACACTTACATGGCTAAGCATGGATTTCTATTCCTGATGGTGGTCGACACGAATTATTCCCAAGGAGAGAAGACAGATGCTGGGCCTGAGAATGCAATTGGTGTGAGCCCTTTGTTGCAGTGGTAGGGGTATGTGTGTGTGTGTGTGTGTGTGTGTGTGTGTGTGTGTGATCTAATTTCTCCAGAAAAGGAAGAAGAGCACAATGGTTGGAAACCAAATATGAGTCCCAGCTCTGCTCCTCACCAGATATGTGGGCTTCAGAATGGGACTTCAGTTTTGTTAGACACCAAAATAGGGATAAAATTGCCTCGCCTTTATTGTGTTGCCATGAGGTCAGTCAGTCTGTCTGTCTATCTGTCTGTCTGTCTATCTATCTATCTATCTATCTATCTCCCTGAGCCTTTTTTTTTTTTTTTTGGCTTTAGTCTAGTGCTTTACTACTTAAGTCATAGCTCCACTGCTGGCTTTTTGGTGACTGTTTAGTGATAAGAGTCTTATATTGGCGCTGGGAAGGTGGCCCAGTGGTAGAGCACTTGCCTTGCATGCATGAGGCCCTGAGTTCGATTCCTCAGCACCACATTAGCAAAAAGAAAAAAGCCGGAAGTGGCACTGTGGCTCAAGTGGTAGAGCACTAGCCTTGAGCTGAAGAGTGCAGGCCCCACGACCGGACCCCCCCCCCAAAAAAAAGAGTCTTATAGACTTTCTTTCTTTCTTTCTTTCTTTCTTTCTTTCTTTCTTTCTTTCTTTCTTTCTTTCTTTCTTTCTTTCTTTCTTTCTTTCTTTCTTTCTTTCTTTCTTTCTTTCTTTCTTGTCAGTTGAAGGGTGTGAACTCTGGGCCTGGGCGCTGTCCCCCTGCTCTTCAGCTGTAGACCAGCACTGTACCACTTGAGCCTCAGCCCCACTTCCGACTTTTTCTGCTTATGTGGTACTGAGGAATCAAACTGAGGGCCTCATGCATGCAAGGCAAGCACTCTACCACTGAGCCCACCTTCCCAGCGCCAAGACTTTCCTACTTGGACTGGCTTAGATCCACACTACTTCCTGAGTACTTATGGGCATGAAATGCCAGCAGCACCTGGCTTGCCATGAGTTGAATTTTTTTTTTTTTTGGTCAGTCATGGGGCTTGAACTCTGGGTCTGGGCATTGTTTCTGAGCTTTTCAGCTCAAGGCGAATGCTTTACCACTTGAGCCACAGCACCACCTCCAGTTTTCTGGTGGTTCATTGGAGATAAGAGTCTCACCGACTTTCCTGCCTGGGCTGGCTTTGAACCATGATCCTCAGATCTCAGCTACCTGAGTAGTTAGGATTACAGGTGTGAGTCACTGGCACCTTGTTTGCCAGGGGTTTTAAGTGGGTCCATATGTGTAGTCACATGCAATACTATGTTTATGATTCTGATTGTATTTCTGGTTTTGGTCACTTAGAGCTATTGTGTGGCTGGCTGGCTACAATGCTACAACCCAGGAGATCCAAAGGCCTTCTGAGCTGTTGGCAGGAGTCAAAGCGTACATCAGTCTTATTCAATCCCTGGCGCAGTTTTTAGGCACAGATGCTTCTAGAATTGTGCGTCATGCCCTCCTGCAGCAGACACAGCCACTGGACGCATGTGGGGAGCAGACCATCACCACTCTCTACACAAACTGGTTAGTGCTGCTGTTCTTTCCCGTTGCTGTATCTCATGATTAGCACTTTTACTTTATACAGCAGGACCTCAGCACCCAATTATTGTAGCCTTGGCCTAGTCCATGGGCCTCCGAAAGGAGTCTTTCTTTTGCTTGCAGACTGGAGGAACAAGCTGGGGGCAAACTCAGTCCTTCTCTGTTCATAAGATTTTCTTCTAGGGGCTGGGAAGGTGGCTTAGTGGTAGAGCACTTGCCTTGCATGCATGAGGCCCTGGGTTCGATTCCTCAGCACCACAAAAGCAGAAAAAAAAGCCGGAAGTGGTGCTGTGGCTCAAGTGGTAGAGTGTTAGCCTTGAGCTGAAGAGCTGAGGGACAGCACCCAGGCCCAGAGTTCAGGCCCCACGACTGGACCCAAAAAAAAGTGATTTTCTTCTAACCTTCAGTATAACACCCATTGATGAACCCATTGTAACTATTGGATCTTTTGCCCCTTAATCTCTAGCTCCTGATGTTCTTTTCTGTATTTTTACTGTTTTGATTTTAAGTGATTTCACAGTCAGGTAATGGTGGCACACACCTGTAATCCCAGCACTTGGGAGGCTGTGGTAGGAAGAAAGGGATTTAAGGCTAACCTGGGCTCACTAAACCCTGTCTCAAAGTAACACTAACAATCCACCAAACACAATTTTGCCTCCTCTTTATGATATCTCTTATGTCTCATTTTCTGTCTTGAGTTCTTCCTCTGAGAACCATACTATCTACAGCAATCTCTTCATCCTCAGATATGACCATGATCTTAATAGCAGGGAAGAAGGCCTTGTTCTCCAACTAGAGGGGTTGACTTAGAACTATTTCCTTTGAGATTTTGTAAGGAATGGAGCTAGGCCAGATTCCTACCTCCCTGAGCCACTGGGTGGTGCTCTTAATCTAGATCAGTTTAGCAGGAGCCTTGAGAAAACCCAGAGTTGGAGAAAGAAAGTTTCCTAGTACAAATGCCAACAGGAGTCAGGCAGGTAAGATAAATGTATGTCATGGGTCAGGTTAAGAGGAGAGAGGAGAGAGGGAGAGGGAGAGGGAGAGGGACGGAAAGGGAAATCCTCTAAAGGGGACAACCAGCATTTTGCACCACCTGCATACTACCCTATTAAATTCTTATTATTTTTTAATATAAAATACCTATTTCAAAAATTGGACGACATTGAAATTAAAAAGAAAAAAAAAAGAGATGTTTGGCAACAGCTGGATTTGGCCTGCTAGTAGTTAGCTTGTGATGTCTGTAAAATACAAACTAAGAATTTAGTGCCTGGGTAAGTGACTAGGGGTGATCAAGTTGTCTCTACAGGCAGGGCTTTGAACTTGGTCCTTTATCTTGCCCAATAGTAAGAAGGGAATATTTGGAGACTGGATGACCAGTGTTCACGGTGCTTCTCTCTGCTCAAAAGGTTTTACTTGTAGGCTGGATGCTGGTGGTTCATGCCTGTAATAGCTCAGGAGGCTGAGATCTAAGGATCAAGGTTCAAAGCCAGCCCGGGCAGAAAAGTCTGTGGGACTCTTATCTCCAATTAACCACCAGAAAACTGGAAGGTTCCTAGTCCTGACTCTAGCATTTTCACTGGAGAGTCCACTTTCACAGGAGTCCACTTAATAATGTGTGCCAGTCCTAGGGCTTGAACTCAGGGCCAGGGCACTGTCTGTGAGCTTTTTTTGCTGAAGGCTAGTGCTCTACCACTTGAGCCACAGCTCCACTTCCAGCTTTTTTAGTGGTCAATTGGAAGTAAAGAGTCTCATAGATTTCCCTGTCTAGCCTGGCTTCAAACCATATTCCTCAGATCTCAGCCTCCTGAGTAGCTAGGATTACAGGCATGGGTATGCAATAGTAATGTTTATTTGTGTGTAGATGTGTGTATACTGGTACTGAGGCTTGAACCCAGGACTTAGGCTTTTTGCTAGTTAATTGGAGATAAGAGTCATACTGATTTTCCTGCCTGGAGCTGGCTTTGAACCACGATCCTTAAATCTCAGCCTCCTGAGTAGCTAGAAGTACAGGCATGAGCCACTGCTTCCCAGCTGTAGGGTTAAAAAAAAATACCAGGTTGAACTAGTGTTAATATAACACAGGGTCAGAGTAAGAGGGGAATGTAAGGCGGGGAGGAGGGGGAAATAGGGGAATGTGATTTTAGGGGGAGGGGAGTACACACCACTACATTTGACAGCATAGTGAAATACCCTGCAGATTAGAAGACAAGTGGAATTATATTTCTGAGGCTGTGTTTGACCCAACAGCTTGGGGTGATAATTAGCTTTCTATTCTGTCTTCTTTGAGGCTCTTCTCAGTATCTCAGACTTTAGTGGAGTTTCTCATCTGATCTAAGTAGTAGCAATGGGGAGCAGGGACAGGGAGAAGAGAATGGATGCTAACTTGAGGTTCTTGGCCCACCCTGTAGGTACCTAGAGAGTCTCCTCCGCCAGGCAAGCAGTGGGACCATCATCCTTTCGCCAGCCATGCAGGCCTTCATCAGCCTCCCCAGAGAGGGGGAGCAGGGCTTCAGTGCAGAGGAGTTCTCAGATGTCTCTGGTGAGCCCAGGATCTGGTCTCTGCTACAGATCTCAACTTTTCCTCTCAAATAGTACCTTGGCCTATTGATTCTGCCCAAATTCCTTTCCAGAGTTCCTACTTCTATGCTAGATGTGTGTGTGTGTGTATGTGTGTGTGTGTGTGTATATGTGCGTGCGTGCGGGCATGCATGCATGCATGTGTATATGTGCATGCAGGTACTGGGGTTTTAACTCTGGACTTGGATGCTGTCCCTTACCTTTATACTCAAGGCTGGTGCTCTATCACTTGAGCCACTTCCTGCTTTTTGCTGGTTATCTGGAGATCAGAGTCTCACAGACTTTCCTGTCCAGCTGGCTTCAAACTGTGATCCTTAGCTCGCAGCCTCCCGAGTAAGGTAGGACTTAAATGTGTTAGCCACCAGTGCCTGACTTTCTGCTAGACTCTGGGAACAAATAAAACGATATTCTAAACATAGCCTAGAATCGAGGAGTGGGTCAGGATTGAAAGCAAAGAGGGAGAAGGAGTGTTTAGGGGTTAGGCAAGCACACTTAAGTCAAACAAAGAGATTTAATTTTCAAAAGGTGGTAAAGGGTTATTCTGCTTTCCACCAAGAAGAATAAAGAAGCAGTATACACAGTAAGAGGAACAGGATAAGAAGTAAGAGAGCGTTCTTATTCTTGCAATAATCAAAGAGGGTCGGATATCATGGCTGCTTCTTCCTGGAGGATAATGTTTAGGACCTTGGCCAATGTGCATCACTGATGTTTAATAGGAATGATGAGGTGATGATGAATGATGTTTATTGCAGGCTAAGTTCTAAATGTTTACAATCTTCACAAACAGCCTCTGGTTCTCCCCATTGGAAGATACTGAGATACAGAGAGGTTAGGAGGTTGCTACGGTCATGCTTTCGTAAATGATGAAACAGATTTTTTTTTATTGTGAAAATACTGTACAGAGGGCTTACAATTACATGGGCAAGATAATAAGTACATTTATTATCAAGCATTGTAGCCTCCTCCTTTGTTTCCCCTTCCCATCCCTTCCCTTCCTCCCCCTAATCCCCACCCAACCCTCCTCCCCCCTCCACCAAACTTGTAAAGTTCATTTTCCACATAAGGACTTGTACATCTCATTGTTGCAGTGGGTCCACCTGTATCCCTATTTAAACGATTTGAAACTGAGATTTTAACTCAGGGTTGCAGAGTTGCTTTCTAGTGTATGGTAGCATGTGTGTTTGTGTGTGTGTGTGTGTGTGTGTGTGCGCGTGCGCACGTGTGTGTGTGTGAGAGAGAGAGAGAGAGAGAAAGAGATGTATATGTGTGTAGGTGTGGAGAAGGGAATATGTAAGGGGCATATAGTGAGTTGGAAAACAGCTCCCTTTTTGAAGAGGGTTTGAAATCATACAGATCCTCTTTCTTTCTTTCCCTTCTTTCCCTTCTTTTTTCTTTCTTTCTTTCTTTTCTTTCTTTCTTTTCTTTCTCTCTCTTTCATATGTTTTTATTGTAAAAAATACTGTACAGAGGGGTTACAGTTACATGAGTAAGGTAATGAGTACATTTCCTCCCCACCTCCCCACCTCCCCCGCCACGTGCCGAAGTTGTAAAGTTGTTTTCAACATAGTATCTTGTACATCTCATTGTTACAACGGGTCAACCTGTATCCTTATTTAAGCATTTTATTATTTCCCTTCCCCTCCCCAAATTAGAAAAATGTATATACAAGATGCAGGGCATGGGCTGGGGAGATGGCTCAGTGGTAGAGCGCTTGCCTTGCATGCCTGAGGCCCTGGGTTCGATTCCTCAGCACCACATAAGCAAAAAGAAAAAAGCTGGAAGTGGCGCTGTGGCTCAAGTGGTAGAGCGCTAGCCTTGAGCTGAAGAGCTGAGGGACAGCGCCCAGGCCCAGAGTTCAGGCCCACGACCGACACCAAAAAAAAAAAAAAAAGATGCAGGGCACTGGAATCATATACAGTGAAAATAGGGGTTATACCATGGGGGAAGAACATACCAAAGAAACAACCAAAAAAAACCCATGTAGTACTTTACAAATATGCTAAAAACAATAGCAAGAAAGAAAAAAAACTTGTGTCCCTATCTTGGGGTTCATCTCACTTAACATTATCTTATCTAGTCATATGTATATAGCTTTTGACTTTTTCTGCTTGTCCTAGACATATACTAGTTATTGCAAATAAGGGAAACCATGGGATCTATGTTTCTTTGGGCCTGGCTTACTTCACTTAATATTATTTTTTCCAAGTCTTTCCAGTTCCTAACAAATGGAGTGATGTCATCCTTTCTGATGGAGGCATAGAATTCCATTATGTATATATACGTGTGTGTGTGTGTGTGTGTGTGTGTGTGTGTGTATAGAGAGAGAGAGAGAGAGAGAGAGAGAGAGCACATTTTCTTGGTCCATTCATCTACTGAGGGACATCTGGGTTGGTTCCTTTCTCTCTCTCTCTCTTTCTTTCTTTCTCTCTCTCTCTTTCACTTTATCTCTTTCTCTCCCTGTCTTCCTTCCTTCCTTTCTTTCTTTCTCTCTTTCTTTCGTGTGCTGGTAGTGTGGTTGAACTCAGAGCCTGGGCTCTGTCTCTTAGCTTTTTTGCTCAAGACTGGCCATCTATCACTTGAGCCACAACTCTACTTCCTCATTTAGATCTTTTTTCTTTTTAAACAGAGTTGTTTAAAAGTAGGAAAGATCCTACTTCCTTCATCCTCTCACCTCTATATAAATGTCAGATTATGGCCAGATGTGATGGCTTACACCTGTAATTCTAGCTACTTGGGAGGTGGGGATTGGGATCATTGTTGTTCAAGGGGTTTGAGAGACTCATCTCAAGTAAAACTGAACATGGTGGGGCACATCTGTTATTCCAGTTATGCAGGGGATATAAACTTGGAGGATCACAGTCCAGGCTGGCCCAGGAAAGAGAGATCTTACCTGAAAAAAGAATGAAAGTCAAAAGCTGGGGGTATGGCCCACATGGTAGAGCATCTGCCTAGCAAGGGTGAGGCCTTGACTTCAAACCCAAGTACTTCCTAAACAAACAAACAAGCATACAAACTTAAAATGGTGCCCAGCATCTGAAACAGGCAGGAGGTTTCCCATTGATCCTGCCCTCTCTGTTCTCTGGTCTCTTTGGGGATGTTAAGAAAGCCAAAGTGCACACTTTTGTTTTCCAGTTCTGCCTCCTTACTGTGACCTAGTCTCTACCAGTTACTGACCTTCACCTACTCTTTACTTGCTGGAGGGTTTGGGTGTCCTCTCCTCATCAACTCTACCCACAAGCTATAGGCTGCCTCTAAAATCTGCTTTAGGTCTCACTGACAACTGACAAGCAGCAGGAGGTAGTGCACATTCTCCCTTCCACCACCCCCACCCCAATTTCCCTGGGTTGCTATGGTGATGGGGCAATGCTACTGCAAAAATAGATAGATAGAAAGAGAGAAGGATGCCCTAGGGTGATAGCTAGGGGGAGGGACAACTGAAGTAAGGTAGTTTTGCACATCTAACTGGTAGACCAGCTCCCAAGAAGGCGATTCAGCCCTTCTTCTGCCCTGGCAACCATGTGAGCATTAGTTAAGGTGATCAACTATGAATTTGTTTTGTAATTCTAAGTTCAGTTCTTTTATTGTAATTGGGTAACTATCTTATTTTACTTTATTTATTTAATTTTTTTGCTTATATGGTACTGGAAAAATCAAACCCAGGGCCTTGTGCATGCTAGGCAAACATTCTACCACTAAGCCACATTCCTAGCCCTAATTGGGCAACTTTAAATATATGGTTAGTATCTATTCTGGACCAAACTCTATGTCAATTGCAGGACCAACTTGTTTCCTTTGTTATTGTTGGAGATGGAGATCTCTTTGTTTTGCTTTCAAAGACTGGAGTGTAGAGTCTTGACTTCCTTTTTTTTCTGAATGGGGAATAATGATATTGAACTTGCCTTTCTTCTGCTGCTGTGGCATTGGTATTTCTGGTCTTTTATGGCTAGCTCCACTGAGATGGCCCATAGCCAGGGATACTTCCAAGCTGAATTTGTCACTGGTATTTTTCACATGGCATTCCCCCAGGCAGGTTTATTTAATTCACAAAGGGCAAGAACAGGCTAGAATATAAGAGATAAGGCATTAGAAAAGGCTAGATTTAGAGGAATAAAAAATTTAGAGCAAAAGACTAAAAAAGAGCTGAGACTCAGGGGCTATGTGTTGATTATGAAAAAAGAAAAAGAAGGAGAAAGAGAGAACCCAAGAAGGGGAAACTGGGACAATGAGCCATTAAATAAAGGTTAAGAGAGGGCCATAGAAAAAGCCAGCCCCTTGGGGCTGGGAAGGTGGCTCAGTGGTAGAGCGCTTGCCTTGCATGCCTGAGGCCCTGGGTTTGATTCCTCAGCACCACATAAGCAAAAAGAAAAAAGCCAGGAGTGGCGCTGTGGCTCAAGTGGTAGAGTGCTAGCCTTGAGCTGAAGAGCTGAGGGACAGCATCCAGGCCCAGAGTTCAGGTCCCATGACCGGACCCCCCCACCCAAAAAAAAGAAAAAGCCAGCCCCTACATAAGAAAAGAGTAGTCTGTGTTGGGAGAACCATAAGGAGTAGAGAGGCACAGTCCTGGGTTTGTGGACATTCCTCTAATGTGATTAAATGACCTTGGCCAAGCATCTAACAACCCTTGTTTATATCCTATACCTCAGATTTAATATGTGTCACAGTTGAATATATTATCCTCTCTCTCTCTGGTATCAGTACTGGGGCTTGAACTCAGGGTCTGGGTGCTGTCTCTTAGCTGTTTTTTTTTTTTTTCTCAAGGCTGGCACTCTACCACTTGAGCTGTACCTCTACTCCTGGCTTTTTGCTGGTGAATTGGAGAGTAGAGTCTCATGAACTTTCTTGCCTGGGCTAGTTTCAATCTGTGATCCTCTCAGATCTCAGTCTCCCAACTAGCAAGGATTACAGTTATTCATTTTTTTTTTTTTGGTTGGTTGTGGGGCTTAAACTCTGGGCCTGGGCAATGACCCTCAGCTCTTCAGCTCAAGGTTAGTGCTTTACCACTTGAGCCACAGTACCACTTCCAGTTTTCTGAGTGGTTTACTGGAGATAAGCGTCCCACGGAGGACTGGGAAGGTGGCTCAGTGGTAGAGTGCTTGCCTTGCATGCATGAGGCCCTGGGTTCAATTCCTCAGCACCACATAAGCAGAAAAAGCCAGAGGTAGTGCTGTGGCTCAAGTGGTAGAGCACTAGCTTTGAGCTGAAGAGCTTAAGGACAAGGACAGGGCCCAGGACCCGTGACCCCGCCCTCCACACACACAAGAGTCTCAGAGACTCTCCTGCCCAGGCTGGCTTTGAACCATGATCCTCAGATCTCAGCCTCCTGAGTAGCTAGCATTACAGGCGTGAGCCACCGGCACCTGGTTTTCATATGTATCTTTATAGCTTTCTAAAGTTTTTATAATGTAGTTTCTTGTTATATCTACTTGGAGGATTTCACTAGAGATATTGATTTCTTCATTTTACAGAGAATTAAATAGGCTCAGAGAGATCCAGGGACTAGTTTGAGCCCTGTATCTAATAGAGTGAGGAGTGCTAATACAGTAAATAGTGAAACCTAGGAACTGAAAGAAGGGCCTGGGAAGTCCGGATTCCTACAAGAAATCAAACAAATAATCATTGTTTGTGGTAAGTCATGGTGTGAGTGCCAATGGCAAGAGGGCAGATTGTCTCGTTGGTAGACCTGTTACCTGAATGTAGGATTGTAGGCCATTTTTTTTTCCTCCTTGATTTCTTACTTCCTTTCCTTCCTGGATGACATTTTAAATATTCAAATGACCCAATAGCTGTTTGTGTAAGTGTTCCAGTGTCTCTGAAATTATTCCAGAGATGCGGGCGTTGGCTGAACTCCTTGGCCCTTACGGCATGAAGTTCCTGAGTGAAAACCTGATGTGGCACGTGACTTCTCAGATTGTGGAGCTGAAGGTACAGTGGAAGCCTAGTATACAGGGAGAGGCCTTCCCTGGGGAGGAGAGGAAGGTGATGGGGACTGAGGGAGAGATGGAGTGTTGTTCTTTTCTTGTCCTTTTTGGTGTGTCTGTGTGTTCCTGAGCTGTAGAAGCTGGTGGTGGAAAACATGGACGTACTTGTTCAGATCAGATCCAACTTTAGCAAGCCAGATATGATGGCATCTCTGCTACCCCAGCTGACAGGTAATACATTCTCCTGCATCAAAAAGGAACCATGGGAACAGCCTCGTGAATGACAGGGGATTTCAGGGATTTGGGGGTCAGGCCAGGCTGGGTATGAAGCATCTTTATTGTCCTATGTTCTCATTCTCTCTCTCTTTCTCTCTCTCTCTCTCTCTCTCTGGGCCTTGTACTTACCCTTAGTATTTCTTTTTTTTTTTTTT